CAAAAATTAATATATAATTTTTTAATATATAAAATTTTAATATTTTTCATTAGACTCATTGATAAAATATAATTTGTTCTTTAATTTTTTTTATTAATATAAGTTTATATTCTTAAAATAAAAACTTAATAAATTCTAATATGACAATTCTTTTCAAAGCAAAAAATAAAATTTAAGTTAAATTTGATAAAAATAAAATTATTAACTTATTTTTTATTCCCTTCCTCTCTCTTTCCAAACCAAACAAAAGTGTATTAAAATTCCTCCCCTCTTCTCCCTTCCATTAAATACGGAGCAAAATCTCTCGCGATAAATTTACAATAATTTTACAATTTATAATTTAAGATTTTTGAATGTAAATACTTTAGTTTACTGGTAAAAAAAGAATATAAATACTTTAGTTTATAATTTTCAAACCTTGTTGCTCCTTACCACAAAAGAATTGAATCTAAATAACAGAAGTTAAATGTTAAAAAGGATTTGGAATAACAATATATTGGTTCAAGTGATTTGTTTGATTGTTATATATGGAGGAAATTACTGCAAGAAAGTCTTTACACCCATATAGTCTAGCCCCACTTAATTAAACTTTTTTTAGGGTTCAATATCGTCTCAAGAAGCTCATTGGTACTGCCCAAAGGAACAAAAGTAATAGTCTATGAATAAATATGATTTTTTTAAAAAGAAAGACATATATATATATATATATACATACATACATACATATATGCATTACTTTTTATTATTCTAATAACAACATATTATTTTATTTTTTAACAAAAAATAAAATTTCATCATTAACTTTTTTTCATTTCATTTCACTTCACTTACTGGATTACTGCATTTATTTATAAAAGGGACCATGGAAGAAGTAACTTTGAATATTTTTGGTATCATTTTTCTCTCAATGTCCCGGAGACTTCCGCAATTAACAATTTTATTGAGTTGATCCCATTAACAATTTTGCCCACCCCCATTTGCTTACTATTCAAAAAATATTATAATAGGAAAATATATCTGCAAATTTTTATAATTTTCATCAATTTTAAATTAAGTCTCTATAATTTATTTTATTTTAATTCAACTTTTATAGTTTGTTCAATTAATTTTTTTGACCCCTGAAAATTAAATTCCTTAAATTTTTTCTTTAAAAAATAAAAACTTTTATACTTTTATTAAATAATTATATAACTTTAGAATTTCTGTTTGGCCACAATTATATAACTTTAAAAATTATTTGTATAATTTTTATAACCCAAAATTTATATAATTATGTTGTCTTTTAAATATTTTTTATACTTATAGAATTTTAATAAAAAATTAATAAAAATTTAAATAGTGCATTAAATTAAATTTTCTTTTTCTATTATTGCTAAAGGTATTAAGAGAAAATGACAATCAAATCATTCTAAATTATATTAATGAGAATTTAATCTCTTGAAATGCAATAATTTCACTAAGCCTCTAAAGATTTTTGTGTCAATAAATTGTAAAGTAAAAAAAATATTTTACCCTTATTGAAATAACAAACCCAATTAGAATTTTTGCTTAATGAATAATATTTTTTGTTTTGTGAATTACAAGAGTTAAACAAGAAATTACAACTTGTCAAATGTAATTTCTATTATTGATAAACAAGCTTTGATCACAACTTTTACTTAAAAAATAATAACTTTTATTATGTAAATTGTAAGAGTTGAACAAAAAATTATAACTTATCAAATGTAATTTTTATTATGAAAAGACAAGTTCTTAAAATAACAAGCCTAGTCACAATTTTTGCTTAAAAAATAATATTTTTCATTAAAAAAGAATCAAACAATAAATTATAACTTATCAATAAAAGTAAAATAGTCTTATCACTTTAATATTTAATAACACAAAACTCCTTAAAAACTTTAATGAAATTATGGCATTTTAAAAAACTAAATTTTTATTTCTATAATATAGAAAATTATTATTATTATTTTTTCAAGTATTAAATTAAATTTTTTATAAACTCTAGAAGTATTTTTTTGGAAAATTTAATAATTTATTATTAATTTTAGTCTTCAATGATCAACATATTTAATAGATCAAATTATAAGGATTTGATTAAAACAAAATAAATGACAAGGGCTTAATTCAAAATTTAAAAAACTATAAGACCTATAAATTAATTCTCCCATTTATAAATATAACTCTCACTCTGTAATCGAGATATTTGTTTGCAACTTTAAATCAATATTTGCCGCTCTTTTCCTAAGAAAATTTACTAAAAACCGAGCTTTCATTAGTTCAAACTGTCAGGACTTTGTTATTTTTACAAAACAATTCGATATCTCATAGTCATCGTTAAAAGAAAAGTTTGTTCACGGTGATAAATTATCAAGATAAGGGATAGGTTTTCAACAATTTTTAAAAAAATACATTACAAATATTAATTCAAATAGTTTAAAATAAAAATTTTCATGATGAACTAAGAATTATATTTTTACCTTAAAAATATTATTTATAATTTAAACTCTTAAATTTATAATTGCCAGAACTAATATTTATAATTTATTTTGAAAAAAAAATAACTCTCACGTTCTCTTCTATGTATTATTCTTGGAAAATCCAATTAAGGCGACCTGTTTGGGGTCCCACGCATACGCATGACCAGATTGGATACCAGCCAGGATTTCCTCTTGAAGGTTCTTCACTTTCACGAGAAATCATTTAACCAAATTAAGAAAAATATCTGTTTGAATTAAATATAAAACATCAATCAAATAGGTTATAAGATTAATTAGGCTGAATAATTAAAACGTCAAGCCAAATATAAATAAAAGAAACCGGCCTCAAAGTTTAATAAAGGTTACAACAAGTAAACATGTCGAAATTTTATCAACTGTAAATATTAAACTGTTGGTATGAAAACACGATCATAAGTAATGTTAAAATTTATACGCAAATAATTCAGTGAAACGGGCTGATTATTAAAATGGAGAGCACATTCCATAGGTTTCGCGAGATTCTTAATTTTTCGATAGAACGTGCTAAGTTTCAAGAAAAATACTTTCACTATTCTGACATTATAAATAGAAAGAAGAAAATACAGAAAAAACTAATCAACATTTCATCAAGACTTGCACATTTTACATTCATTAAATTTTTTTCAGTTTTTAATTTTTAGTCTGTAATCTTTTTATACTTTAATTAAATTATATATTTATTCTATCAAAATTTTATATTTTTTTATATTCGAGTAAATTGTGATAAACAAATTTAAAACTTTTTTTATTATTTATTAAGATTTAATATTTTTAACATATTTAATATTTATTATTCAATTACGAACAATATCCAATGAATAGAAAGAAAGCGAAATCAATTTCAGAATCTTAAATGGGAAGGAACCTATGGGGTAATAATTAAAAAAAAGTATTCCGCTTCCAGGGACCCCATTTCCACGGGAGTCAAAACGTCAAATGGGTGTCGGTAGTCCAATGTTTTTTTTGGATAATATATCTACATGAAAATTTAGACAACGTGAATTATGGAAATTATTGGAGATCGAATAAGTCTCACGAAAAAGAAAAATCTCAGAACTACTTACAAATTACTTTTGAATTATATCATGTTGTTTTGTTACTATGCATCGATTATATATAAATCGAGGTTTAATAATGTTTGGGTTTTGTGTCAAATACAATCACTTTATAATTGCTTTTATCAAATATTTTATGTGATTATTGAAATATTATATAATGGTTGGCCAGATCACAGTTCACGTTTGGTCACTCAAAATGAATATTCATAGACAGAGTTACTGGCCAATTTTTTTTTTTTTTTTAAAATCCGAGTCAGAGTTGAAGTGGCAGAGGCATGATGTGGGAGCACCATACAATAACTTTCTTGTTCTCACTTCTTATTTCCTCTTCTCTCATTTATAAACCACATTTTAAAAAATTTATTTTATAACTTATAGTGTGACTTTTTAAATAATATTTAAAAGATATTTTTAAAATTATATTTTTATTTTTTAAATTTATTATATAAGAATATATTTAAAATTTTATATATTTTTACTTTTTCATTTTTTATAAATATTAATGAAATTGGTAAAAAAAATTTATAAAAAAAATTGAAGGAGAACTTCTCACCGCAGCTCTCAGAAGATACGCCCAGCTCAGCTATGCGTTCTACAGTTTATTATTTTTAAATAAAATAGTATTAATAATCCAATGACACCATCCATTAGTTTATTTCATCGCCAAGTGTAGCCTCATGGAATACTTTCAGTCTCAAGAAAAACGAAAAAATTAGTGATAAAAACGAAAAAGTGTGGCCTCATACGGAAGGGCATCTGTACATTAACATCCGAGGACGCATAGTCTTCTGTGTACAAGCAACGATAAACACGCGTCTACGGTACGCTCATAAATCTGGGTGACAATTTTGGATCCATCTTGGGCTGATGGGCGGTGCTCATCGTAGTGATTTAATATAGACCGTTCAGATTGAAATTTAAATAATTTAAATTTAATAAATTATTTTATATTAAATAGTTAATATAATTTTTAATTTTTTTTATAAATTTTTTATTTTAATAAATAAAAAATATAAATATAAAATAGTCTGTTAAATATGAATTATTTAAATTTTAATTCACGTTCAGATCACGTCATCACTGTGCTACCCTAAGATGGACCCACATTTTGAGTTCATTGTCTTTTCGGTATCTGCGTTGTCCATGTCTTGCCGTTCTCTCCCAAGTTTTGAAGTTGCTCTCATAGGATGAAATCAAATTCCAAATACTCTTCATCCAATAACTCGAGGGTAAAAGTCCGAACAACCTCGAAAATTGCTGGTAAAAAAGAAAAGGTATCATTTTTTAAATAATAGCTTTACGTTTCTAATTTATTATTCAATAATTTATTAATTAATCATGCCGCGCAACGGTTTCACTTTTTCTCTATATATTCCATCCACCAGAGCATTGCGTTGCCATGGTTGCAACCCCTTCGATAATTAACGGTTAGCTTTGATTCTTCGAAATTAATTCCTTCTCCAAATCTCTCTCCAGTATCATTTCCCTCCCGAGTAGACTGCGCAAATCTCTCTCGTAAATTACCATACTTGTGAAGTGTATCAGCTACTGTATATCTGATTCCAATTCATTCCGCAAAAACATATTCTCACTTCCTCTGTTCATATCAAATCTTGGTCTATTCCCCGTTTTGTTATTAATTTCCCTTTACGGTGTTGCCATAGTACCTTATAAAGCCCAGCAAAGCTCCGGGCTTTATTCTCATCAGTTTCGAATCCCGGCTTCTCAGTCTTTCTGCTCTGTTTTTATCTCTTGTACCTGTGTTGTCTGTGCTCATCATGGCTCCCCCCAACGACCCTGTCTTGAACTTCATGCCCACCGAATCTTTGGAAAAAAATTGGGTGCTGTCTGAGGGGAAGCTTTCCGTCAGAGGCGTGCCATTGCTCACTCACGTCCCTGACAACGTCACTTTCAGTCCCTTCTCTCAAATATGTCAATCCTCTGACGCTCCTCCTGCTTTGCTTCAGAGGGTGGTGGCTCAATATCACAAGGGCGGATTCCTTGGGTTCTCCCAGAAAGAGCCGTCTGATAGGTTGATGAATTCCTTGGGTAGTTTCAGCGATAGAGAGTTCTTAAGTATCTTCAGGTTCAAAACTTGGTGGTCTACCCAGTGGGTGGGAAATTCAGGCTCTGATCTACAGATGGAAACCCAATGGGTGCTCTTTCATCTTCCTGAGATTAAGTCCTACGCCGTCATCATTCCTATCATTGAAGGAAGTTTCAGGTCTGCCCTTCATCCTGGCTCTGACGGCCACGTCAAGATTTGCGCCGAGAGCGGGTCTACCCAAGTGAAGGCATCGAGTTTCCATGCCATAGCTTACATTCACGCGACAGAAAATCCCTTCAACTTGATGAAAGAGGCCTACACTGCTCTGAGGGTACACCTCAATACTTTCAGGCTCTTGGAAGAGAAATCCACGCCGAGTCTGATTGGTAAATTTGGGTGGTGCACGTGGGATGCATTCTACCTAACCGTTAACCCCGTCGGAATATGGCACGGGCTGAAAGATTTCGCCGCTGGTGGGGTGTCTCCGAGGTTTCTCATCATCGATGATGGTTGGCAGAGCATAAATTTGGATGGTAAAGACCCGAATGAGGACGCTAAAAATCTTGTTTTAGGTGGCGAGCAAATGACCGCAAGGCTTCACAGACTCGACGAAGGTGATAAGTTCAAAAAGTACAAGGGTGGCCTCATGTTGAGTCCTAATGCTCCTTCAATGGATCCTAAAATGATCAAAGTCCTTATCAACAAGGGAATTGAACTTGAGCATCTGCAGAAGGAACGTTACCACGCATTTGAATCCGCGAGCCCGAATCTGTCCCAGATCGAAACGGGGATCCAGAAGGTGAAAAAAGAAATCAATGATCTTTGGCGAGAGCTAGACAGCGGTTCAAACAAAGAATGTGGAAGCATGTGCGGGGAAACAGACGAGTATGGAATGAAGGCTTTCACAAGGGATTTGAGGTCTAAATTCAGAGGTCTGGATGACATTTATGTTTGGCATGCCCTTTGTGGTGCTTGGGGTGGCGTGAGGCCAGCAGCAACGCACCTGAACTCGAAGGTTATCCCATGCAAACTCTCCCCAGGTCTCGATGGAACGATGCATGATCTTGCTGTGGTGAGAATCGTCGAAGGTTCGATTGGGCTTGTTCACCCGGATCAAGTCAATGACTTTTATGACTCTATGCATTCCCATCTAGCCAAATCCGGTATTACGGGAGTCAAAGTTGATGTCATTCACGTGAGTGTTTCTTTGCCATATTTGATTGTGTATGTGTTTGTGTTGTTGTTGTTGTTTTTTTTTTTTTTTATCACAGCTATTCGTTATTGTACTATATTTTCTAAGCACAGACTCTTGAGTATGTGTGCGATGAATATGGAGGCAGAGTAGAGCTTGCCAAGGCTTACTATGATGGGCTGTCAAACTCCATTGCGAAGAATTTCAATGGAAATGGAATCATTGCTAGCATGCAACAGTGCAATGACTTTTACTTCCTCGGGACAAAGCAGGTGTCTTTGGCAAGAGTTGGTGAGCACATATTCTCTTAGCTTATATATATATATATATATTTCTTCAATTTATTTTAGTCTCCAAACAAACATCAGAAACAACATAAAACATATCCCTTTCTTTTCCTGCAGGGGATGACTTTTGGTTCCAAGATCCGAATGGTGATCCAATGGGAGTATTCTGGTTGCAAGGGTTACATATGGTTCACTGCGCTTATAACAGCCTGTGGATGGGGCAAATGGTTCAGCCTGATTGGGACATGTTCCAGTCAGACCATGTGTGTGCCAAATTCCATGCAGGTTCAAGGGCCATTTGTGGTGGCCCGATCTATCTGAGTGACTCGGTAGGTTCTCATGATTTTGATCTCATCAAGCAGCTTGTTCATCGTGATGGCACCGTACCAAAGTGCATTCATTTCCCTCTTCCAACTAGAGATTGCCTTTTCAAGAACCCTCTGTTTGACCAGAAAACCGTCCTCAAGATCTGGAACCTCAACAAGGTATATAATTTTTTGGGCCTAGAAATCAGTGACTCCATAGTTAACATTTGATACATCATTGTTCTCATTAGAGCTGACCATCACTAACGTTGGGTATATACTTGAACAGTATGGTGGGGTGGTTGGTGCTTTCAACTGTCAAGGTTCCGGTTGGGATACCAAAATGCATAAATTTAGGGGCTTCCCTGAGTGTTACAAGCCTGTATGTAGCTCAGTACATGTCTCTGAGATTGAATGGGACCAGAAGAAAGAAGCAGCCCACATGGGTGTGGCGAAGGAATACATAGTGTACATGAATCAAGCTAAGGAACTGTGTGTGATCATGACCCAGAAGTCTAAACCATTGCAAATTTCCATCCAGCCTTCTACGTTTGAGCTCTTCAGCTTTGTCCCGGTCACCGAGCTAAAGCGCGGCATCAAATTCGCAGCCATTGGGCTAACGAACATGTTCAATAGTGGAGGGACAATTCAAGAAATGGAATGCTCTGAGGATGGTGTGAGGCTCCAGGTTAAAGGTGAAGGAACTTTTCTTGCTTACTCAAGCGAGTCTCCTGAGAAGTGTGAGTTGAATGGTGATGAGGTACCGTTTGAGTGGCTGCCTGCTGGCAAAGTGAGGCTCAACCTTGCTTGGGAGGAAGAGGCTGGGGGGGTTTCTGATTTAGAATTTTTCTACTAGGATTGTCCTTTTTTTTTTGGGTACTGTCCACGGTGGATGTTTTTTTATACCGTGGTTGCATTTTTTTTTTCCCGTCTTTTTGAATTAGTTTGGTTTGAATAAGAGCACTTTCTTGATGGATTGGTATTTGATTGAATGGGTAGAACTCCTATATATTATTAACTCTCGAGAATTGCTTGATCATTCTTAGTGTATGCTCTTGGGTGTAATTACATGCTTCCTAGGAGTGACAGGCCACACGATATGACGGTGTCACTTCCAATAATTATAACTCGTAAAATAATCCCTGATTCTTAACTAACGATCTTTTGTTCCTTGTGATGTATAATTGATGTTATCCACACTCATAATATCACGTCATCGATCCCTTAGTAACACATTCATTAATTTTGGATAATTAGTTAGGAATACATAAACAAAAACATCTTTTAAGCGCAAAAAAAGAGAGAGATAATACAGACTTCATCTGGCCATCACGTGTGACCTGTGATTGCATTCACGAATCATGGTTAAAATTGGGGCTTTTAATTTTTCTTTATTGACACTTGTTTATAGCATGCAACAGTTGGCAGGGGCAATAGTTTGTTGTTGCTTTGGTTGAATATTAGCAAGAGTTTAGCCAAGAAAAATGAATGTTCTGAATTGACTCGGCTTTTTCTAATACTAGTTGGAGCTCCACCTATCCTGATGCAAAAGTTTTTCATCTGTGCAAATTGGGGTCAAATCATGGACCACTCAGGGTGACTTCAACACTCTTGTGAAAAAAGCAAGAAAGACAAATTTCAAATGCCAAGCGGCTTGGTCTTTAGAACCTGGTTTTATTGATGTTGTTCGAGAAGCTTAGGATATTGGACGAGGGGATATTTGTGTAAAAAACATCACCTAGGAAGCTAGTGTAGATGGAATAAAGATAGAGTTGGTAATATAATTCAAAAGAAAAGAAATCTTTTGAGAAGACTTGATGGCCTTGATAAAGCGAGAACCACACGGGATAGTCAATACCTGCAACAAGTTAAGAAGGAGCTTCTGAATGAATATAACAAAGTGTTGGCACAAGAAGAACTCATTTAGTCAATTTGTGATCTAGCGAAAGGAATTTTTCATGAACCAAGGAGGTTGGGTAATGTGAATAGTATTTTGCTAGCACTTATTCCCAAAGTTGATCATCCAGAGACTTTTAAGGAATTTCGACCAATTTTTCTATGTAATGTGAGCTATAAACTTGTGCCAAAAGCGATTGCAAATAGGCTCAAACCAATGATGTCTAAAGTCATTAATATGTATCAAAGTAGTTTTATACCAGGTAGGTAAAGTAGTGATAACCAGTATTTTTAAAATCACTCCGATCGTCGATCAGTCTCCGATCGTCGACTGGTCTGAATTTTGGTTTGGTTCATATGAGAAAACTGTTTTAAGGATTGAGCCATTTTGAACCAGCGATCAGGCCAAAAATCGAATCTTGTTTTTAAAAACCGGACTGTTAAAAAAACTTTTTTTATTTTTTATCAAATTTTTTAAAAAATATCTAATTTTTTTAATCATTTGATATTATGTTGTATCATGTGGCTTGTTAAATCATGATAAACTTAAAATATTTAGTTTTTTAAGTTAAATAGCAATTTTATATGTATTTCTTATATTTAGATTATTATATATATATATATATATATTTTAATTTAATTATTATGTCACCGGTTTGACCATTAGTCCAACCCGATTGAACCATGCAAATCGTAAACGGTTGAATTTTTTAATTCAATATCCGGTTCAATTCTAAAAACATTGGTGATAACATTATTGTAGCACAAGAAGTTATTTATTATATGAAAAGAAAAACAAGAAGAAAAGGATTTTTAGCTCTCAAGGTGGATTTTGAAAAAGATTATGATAAGGTTAACTGGTAATTTATTCACCACACTCTTTGGGATCTTGGCATAAGAGAAAATCTCTATAATATTACTATGGCCTATGTTAATATTGCTAGCTTCCAAGCTCTTTGGAATTTATTCTAGCATAAGATCATTAGCAAGGAGATCTAATGTCTCCATACCATTTCACTTTGTGTATGGAACGACTTAATCATATTATCCTTGATGACGATGATTGCAAGAGATGAAAGCTAATTTGGCTTCTTAATGGTGGCTTAGATATCACATACTTATTTTTGCTAATGATCTTATGCTTTTTGCACAGGCTTTTAGAGAGCAAGCAAAAATTGTTAACAATTGTATCCATAAATTTTGTCACTACTCTGGGCAAAAGATGAATAGAGATAAAACAAGATTGTGCAATTCAAAAAATGTTAATTTCCACATAACCTTAGAACTTAGTAGAGATTTGCAAGTGAAGTTAACAAGAGACTTGAGTAAATATCAAGGTATGTCCCCCATACATCATAGATCTTCCTTCAGCTTATTTGCTCCTATCTTGGTGAAAACAAGGGAGAGATTATTTGGTTGGAAAAGGAATTTTCTTAATGTAGCAAGCCGTTTAGTTCTCATTAAGTTAGTGATATCCACTTCACCTAGCTACTACATGAAAATGATGATTCTTCAAAAAAAGCTTATTTACGAGATCAAAAAAGAATGTAGAAGGTTTCTCCGAGGTGACACAAATGATAAAAAAATCTAGGAGTCAAGAAGAAGGGTTCTAAGAGTAAAAGATATGGCCATTTTAAATAAGGCTTTCATCTTTGAACTTTGTTAGTCAAGGAAGTGTCCCTAATATGAACAGGAAGTCAAATGCATCCCTTACTTTGTGTAGTATTTGTGACTGTTAGGAGAGCTTTACTAAGGAATATGGAAGAGAGTTAGCAATGGCAAAAATACTAATTTTTGGATTGATATTTGGTGTTGATAGACCTTTAGCCCAATTTGCTTGGAGTATTTGTTATAATGTTGAGACCAAAGTAGCAAATTTTGTGACTAAATTTGGTGATTAGAATATCAATAGAATGAGTAAATGTTTGCCAAGAGATGTTATGTATTGGATTTCTTGCACTTATATCTCAAGAGTTGAGAGAGTAAGGATAATTTTGTATGGATACCATCCTTTAATGGTAATTTTAGCCTCCATTTTGCATATAATTTTGTTGCTATAGGTACATCATCTGTTGTTAGAGCAAAATTTGGTATTGGACAGGTCCCGAATAGATTAAAATCCATCTGTGGCTAGTAGCAAAGAATAGGTTACACACTTCTCAATTACATGCTAACCGTGGAATTCAAAGTAAGGAGCAGTGCCCTTTAGGATGTATGCAGAAGGAGGGCATATTGCACGTATTGAGAAATTGCCAACATGCGAAAGAAAGATGGAAGAGTCTAGTTAGACCAAAGGAGTGGAACGGTTTTAAGAACCACACACGGTGAAAAATGGATCCTTTAAAACTTGGAATACTCTCTCGGTAAGGAATTCACAAGACAAATACCATGGAATGTTTGTTTTGGATATATTTATTGGGATATATGGTATTATAGATACAAGCTGTTATTTTCTAATGATGAAGCTTGAAGGAGAAGGGATTAGTTCAGGTGATGCGACCCTTCAAAGGGTTGAGGTTGATCTAAATAATACTCTCAACTCTTCTACAACCCTTACTATTCCTACACAAAGCACACATCACTATGGTTTGTCTTGCTGGTAATGAGGTTTGTCTAGACATTAATAGATCTTATAAGGATTGTAACACACCAATTTTTTTTAAAAAAATAATTTAATTCAACTATAATTGGGTTACAACCACACAACACATTTTTATATCAATAATTTCAATATAAAATATTTTATAATTGGCTTCAACTCACACAATATAACATTTTAGATAAATTTTTGCCTCCCACATGCCATTAGACTAGATCACATTTGTCCATCCTTATACTCCCAACAAGTAAACTAAATCACATTTTTCCATCCTTATACTCCCAACAAGTAAAATAAATAATTTAGTCAATTTTCAACACAAGCCAGTTATTTGGCCTCATAATCATGCCATTTTAACCAATCCAAAGTAAACCAAATATTAAAATTACAGTCATCCAAAGTGTACCAAAAATAGAAATAGTTTGAAAGGCATGATTACATTTATATATTCATATAATTGTCAATAAATAAAAAGCCATAATATTGGCAATATAACACATTATAAATCATAAATCAAATACCCAAAAGAGATAGTGGATCTATGCCACTAAGCCTTTGGGACTCCTCCACGTGTCACTCGTGGCTCTTCTCCTAAAAATTGTTAACCACATAATGAGACTCAAAAGTCCAAGTAAACATAGCCAATTTATGAAAGTATATACAAACAGTTAAGTGTGTGCTTATTAAGTGATAATTAAAAATAATATAATTTCAACAAATATAAAAAATATTACAATACACACAAATAATCATCCTTATATCCCTCCATTAACCTCGAGCCGTAGCCCTCACTCGATGCTAAATTACCCGGCCAAAGGTAGATTAGCCCCAGCCCTTACAAACCATCTATTGAGCTCCAATAGGGGCGTACCACGTGGCACATAAATACAACAACAATAGCAAGTCTTCCAACACTTCCCACAATAATCAAACAAATTCATAATAATATTGCACAATTATACAATATTACAAAATTCATAATTTTCTCAATAATCACCCAATTAACATAAAGTAACACTAATCACAAATTAAAAGCATGGTTACCTCGTGGCTTTTTTAATAAATTATTCCTTACAATTTCTCTCCCACTACAATCTTCACCAACAACACAATCTACAAATAACATATTATTTATAAATATTAGTTTCAATTTTTGAAACTAATAAAACAATTCTAATAATAGAATTAAAAATATAACATAATTCCTAATCTCAATCTTAATACAAATCTAGAGTTAATACTATTAAGTAAAATTTTTAACTCCTCTTTTAGTCATCAATAAACATTAATAATCTAAAAATCAACTTCTAAACTAATTTCTATTATCAAAATTTTCTTTTTATTTCATAAATTCACACCTAAAATACCCAAAAATTAAAAATTGAATCTCTAACTTAGAATCATAATCCTATAGCCATAATAATTCATTTCTCATCCCAAATAATCATCTAAACCTCAATAAATCAACGTATATTTTCATATCTAGTTTAGAATTTGATCCATAAGCCATAAAGTCAAAGATCATCAATAAATTTATACTCTA